CCTCCCCCAGACCCCCTCAGCTGGTGTCCACGACCCCTCCCCCAGACCCCCTCAGCTGGTGTCCCCTCCCCCTCCCCCAGACCCCCTCAGCTGGTGTCCCCAGACAGGACAGGGTTAAATCCTGCCCGGGAGGAACCAGTCACCCTCAGAGGAAAGAGCTGCAGGGGTTTGCTTGGTGCCCCACCTCTGGAAGCTCAGCCTATAACACATACCGTGTGTGTCCACGCTGATCCCCACAAACAGGAACCATCGCTCCACACTGATAGGGTGGACAGAGCCAAAGGGCATCAAAGTGTGTGAGCCCAATCCCACCCCACTCCCTCTGTCCGACCCTCCTGAGATGACCACCCCTCAGAGAGGTGCGAAGGAGAGGCCGGGTGAGGAACTGGGGCTGAGAAGGGCGGCTGTGCTGTACCCGGGGAGAAGGGGACCCCGTGGTGATGGAACAGCTGTCCTCATCGAGGTGACACGGCCCACACGGGAGTCACAGACATCTGCACACGCAAGCACATGGAGCCTGGGAGGAACCTGCATGTGCTCTGTGGTGGCCCACGCCCCACCCGATTGTCACCCCAGACTACAGGAGGCAAGACACTGCATGCAGGATTGGGGGATGGGTACTGGGGGCCTCCCTGTTCCATTTTCTGCTTTCTGTGATTCTACAACTATTTCAAAAGAAAAAGTTAAAAAAAAAAAGGAAAAGGTGCCTGGGAAGGCAGGGCTCAGGGTGTCTGTGGGGGTCACAGGAAAGCAGCAAAGGGTCATCCTCCACCTTAAGCCTTTCCCCATTGTTAGGAGTCTCAGCCACATGCAGGTATACAAAAGCAGCTGACAGAAATGTGAAATGCTGGCACAGGGACCGATCAAGTATGGGGGGGCACAATGCGAGGTCAGAGGGGAGCATGCACCTCTGCAGGTCCTGGCCGGGGAGGGAGCTGACCCAGTCAGGGCAATGAGGCAGGCCACAGTGGGCAGGGCCACGTTCTGTGTGTCACGCAGCCTCTGGGGCTAACAAAGCTGCAGTGCACCCCTGCTCCCCTGTGCCCGCAAGTCAGACCATCTGCTGGCCCTGCCACAGCTGAGGAACAGGGGCCAGGTCAGCAGGAGAAGGGGCGACGTAAGGCGAGCCCGTGTGCAGGGGCTGACGTGTGGGCTGGGCCACTCTGGGGGGCCATCCTGGGCACAGCAGGGCACTGAGAGTACCCCAAGTCCCAGCCCGTTCGATGCCAGGAGCACCTACACCCCCAGCCCTGAGTCACAACCGCAAGTGTCCCCAGATGTTGGCCAGTGCCGCCAGATCAGCTTTATCAGATAAACAGGGAATCCTGTCTCTAGCTAGAGTACGTCACCAACGGTGCAGAGGCCACCCTTAGCCTAAACGTCCCTCGCGCTCGGTCTGAGACTGCACTGGGTGCCCTGCATTCATATTTGCACAGCACAGCAAGCCTCCTGGGAGCAGGAGTGCAGCCATAGCAGGAGGAGGCGGAGGCGCCTGGCCAGCAGGGGACATGGTGGCAGCGTGATCCCAGCCCACACAGGAGTCACAGACGCGCCCATGGGGGCGGAGGCACCCTCTGGAGGAGGCTGTGGCAGGAGCGCTGCTGACATGCTGGGGGGCCGGCTGAGACCACACAGGAGCAGGGAGATCCTGCACGAGGTGTCCCCAGCCCCAGTCTCTGCTGGTACATAGGGGCCAGCGGGCACCGGCTCAACAAGGGAGCAGAGGACCATCCCCATGCTCAGCGGCAGCCCAGACGCCAGCAGACAGCCGTGAGAGCGTCCCAGTGAAACCAGCACAGCCAGGAGCAGCACCCAGAGCCTCCTGTACGCGGCCAGCAGCTGAGAAGGCCTTGGGTGTAAAGAAGTAAGAGAACGCACGGCTCCGCCTGAGGAGAGAAGCAGACAGCCATCACATCCCACCGAGGCCCACCATTCAAGATACACAGGAACGCCTGAAACTCAACAGTAAAGAAACAACCCGCTTAGAAACGGGCCAGAGACCTTAACAGACATCTCCCCGAAGAGAATATGCAGATGGCGAAGAAGCCACGCCCGGCTGGTGGGATCACGGACGGGACACCGCGCTGGACACGGCCCGGCGGCTTCTCACAAAAGGAAATCCTCTCTTACACCCCACCGGAGCCGAAGCTACGTCTGCACCAAATCCTGTTTACCCACAACTGCCACAAGTCGGAAGCCCCCAGGCTCCTATGTAGGAGAGAGCCTACATAGACTGCGGTCCCCCCAGACGACGAACAGGGGTCAGCGCTGGGAAGAAGCGAGCTCCCACCACGAGAAGACGCGGGCGGAAGAAGCCCATCCGAGGAGGCTACTCGCCGTGTGCTTCCAAGTGGACGGCGGCATTCTGGAGAAGGCGGGACCGTGGAGACAGAGCCCCTCGGTGGGCGCTGGGGGACTCGGGGGGGGGCCCAGCGGGGCTCCAGGGCCGTGAAACCATCACTCTGTGTGACCCTGTGGGCACGGGCACGCATCTTTCCACACCCGTCCGAGCCCACAGCACGCACACCATGGAAAGGAGGGGCTCCGACTGATGCAGCGTCAGTGCGGGTCCATGAGCTGCTGGGGATGCTGCCCTGAGGGCGGCTACGTGCCTATAGGAGCTCCCGTTCCCTCCCCTCAATTCTGCGGAGCCAGAAACTGCTCTCCACTTTAAAAACAAAACACGGAAGCCACCGAGACAAGGTGCTGCTTCTGGAAACTCAGAACAGGGCTCCCTGGGGAAGGAACAAGGCCACTGACACGAGACATTCCAGAGAACACCGGACAGGGGGCGCTCGGCTCCCAGGGAAGTGGCCCTCTCCCCAGCGCAGACCCCTGAGACAAACGCAGGTAGGAGGAGGTTTGGCTGGGACAAACGCACCTGGCTCCTCACCTCCCCCCTTGGAAGCGGGCCGCCAGCTCTGGGGCGACCCGTCTGCTGCACTGCAGACCCCACACCACGGCTTTCCCAAGCAGGGCTGAGCCGCAGTGGCCACTTGGAAGATGCCCACCTCGGAGACTAGTTGCTACTCGCTGGCCTGGTCCTGGCTGCCAGTTCTGATGGCCTCACACAGATGCCCCTCCCATCCTCAGGTGTGCTTCCCCCCCCGGGTGCCCCTCCCACCCTCAGGTATCCTCTCCCAATGCCCCTCCCACCCTCAGGTGTGCTCCCCCCGGGTGCCCCTCCCACCTCAGGTGTACTCCCCCCGATGCCCCTCCCACCTCAGGTGTGCTCCCCCGATGTCCCTCCCACTCTCCGGTGTACTCCCCCCGATGCCCCTTCCACCTCAGGTAGCCTCCCTCCGATGCCCCTCCCAGCTCAGGTGTACTCCCCCGGGTGCCCCTCCCACCCTCAGGTGTGCTCCCCCCGATGTCCCTCCCACCCTCAGGTGTACTCCCCCCGGGTGCCCCTCCCACCCTCAGGTATCCTCTCCCCAATGCCCCTCCCACCTCAGGTGTACTCCCCCCGATGTCCCTCCCACTCTCCGGTGTACTCCCCCCGATGCCCCTCCCACCTCAGGTAGCCTCCCTCCGATAGCCCCTCCCACCCTCAGGTATCCTCTCCCCAATGCCCCTCCCACCTCAGGTGTACTCCCCCCGATGTCCCTCCCACTCTCCGGTGTACTCCCCCCGATGCCCCTCCCACCTCAGGTAGCCTCCCTCCGATACCCCTCCCACCTCAGGTGTGCTCCCCCGGGTGACCCTCCCACCCTCAGGTGTGCTCCCCCCGATGTCCCTCCCACCCTCAGGTGTACTCCCCCCGGATGCCCCTCCCACCCTGAAGTGTGCTCCCCCCAGGTGCCCCTCCCACCCTCAGGTGGCCGCCCCTGGACGCCCACGCCCCCTGTCCTTCCCCAAATGCCCCGCCCGGGACGTCCTTCCTCGTCCTCCGGGAGTCCACGCCTAGAGCCCGGCTCTGGGCGGCTCCTAGACCTGCACGCAGCCCGAGCGGTCGGCCCCTCCGTGGGAAGCCCCGCCCCCGCGCCGCTGCCCGCGCTCACCGGTACAGGAGGACGTCATAGAGCGTGCGGCCCTGGACGTTGAGGAAGTGGGCGTAGCCCGCCCTCGCTGGGGGCGGGGCCGCGCCGGCCGCAGGACCCGGAAGCGGTAGCTCATTGGTCAGCAGCCCCAAAAGGAAGGGCGCGGAGTCTGGCCCGCGCACGCGCACCAAGGCGCGCTCGCCCAGCGGGAAGCAGGCCCAGGCCGCGCCGCTCACGGGGTCGTCGCCATGACGGCCTGAGCCGTGGGCTAGGCGACGCCTCGGGGCCGCGCGCAGCAGCCAGCACCAGGCCGGACCGCCGCGCCCCGGAGCCGCGCCCCGAAGCAGCGCCGCGGCCGCCATCTTGGGGAGGATAAGGCTGCCTGAAGGGGCGGCCCGGGCGGGCGGGTGGACGCCACAGCGGCCTCTGGCGGCGGGCGGGGGTACGCGAGGGGCGGGGCTGCGCGGGGCGGGACTTGGGGAGGGGCGGGGACGGAGCACGCAGGGCAGCGGGACTGGTGTCTGGGGGCGGGGACGGAGCGTGCGGGGCGGGACTTGTGCCGGGGTGGGGCGGGGACGGAGCGTGCGGGGCGGGACTTGTGCCCGGGTGGGGCGGGAACGGAGCATGCGGGGCGGGACTTGTGCCTGGGGGCGGGGACGGAGCAAGCGGGGCGGGGGGACTTGTTCCGGGGTGGGGCGGGGCCTCGGGCTGTCCGTCAGCCTCCCGCCCCGTCCCCTGGCTGCGCCTGGTCTGGGCACCTGCGCAGGACACCAGCGCTGCCCCCGGTGTGGGAGCAAGTTCCTGCTTGCTTTATTGCGGTGAGCTACATAGAAGGTGAGGTTCGCCATCTCCATCCTTTCGTCAAGGCACAGTCAGTCCCATCCAGCGCCTTCACATCGTGGGCAGCCGTCCCCCCGGCCAGAACACATTGTCTTCTTCCTGCCGGCCGCCAGCCCCTGGGAACCCCATCCCCCTCTGTCTGGGAACCTGACTCTCACGAGTGGAATCGTGCAGTGTGTGTGCTTCTGTGGCTGGCGTCGTGAGCATGTTAGGTCTTCTTCCTAAAGGATGGGTAGGATTCTGTTGCATGGACAGCACAGTTTGTGTATCCACTCCGTCGGTGGTGGACATTCGTCTCCTTTCCACTCCTCGGCCGTGGTGGATTTTGCTGCCATATGTGTGCACATCTCCTGGAGACCCTGGTTGCAGTCCTTTGGGGTATTGTGTACAGGAACCACGCTCCTGTGGGTCCTCTGCTCTCGCTCTGCACCTCTCTTCTGACACTTAGGATCGCTACATGTGTTTGGGGGAAGGGCTCCGCACACTAGCTGGGGGGCCTCAGCTCTGACCCTGTACACATGGAGTCAGCATCAGACTCGCGTGGAGTCAGCATCAGGTTCGGGGTTCAGGCCCACAGACCCCCTCACTGCAGATGCCAGTCACAAGTCCAGGGGTCCGCAGTGCTCTGACCCGCTGGCTACAGATCCGAGGTTCCCACGGCCCCCTCCTCGGGTTCCATTAACTTGCTGGAGCGGCTCACAGAGCTCAGAGAAACATTCTCCTTCCTACGTTACCAGTTTATTATAAAAGGATATAACTCAGAAGTAGCCAGATGGAAGAGACACACGGGGCAAGGCACTGGGGGAGGGGCGTGGAGCTTCTCCCCACATGTCTACGTGGTCACCAGCCCAGAAGCTCTCCAAGCCTGACCTTGTGGGTTTTTATGGGGGCTTCAGTACGTGGGCATGATTGATGGATTCATGGGCCATTGGTGATTGGTGGTTGATTCCTTCTCCCCTCCCTGAGGTCAGGGGGTGGGACTGGAACTTCCAACCATCTGGTCCCAGGGTTGGGTCCCCTGGTCACCAGCCCCCACCCTGAGGGGCTTTCCAGAGTGACCTCATTACATAACAAAAGACACTGTCATGGCTGTCCTCACATGGGAAACTCCAAGGGCTTCCCCCATCAGGTGCCGTCCCCAATCTCTGCTCCCCTTTGAGGGAGACTCTGAGAGACTGTGTCCTGTGTCCTCATCCCACATGCGCTCCTCGGAGTCACAGCCAAGGTGGGAGATGGAGGCTGGCCACAAATACCCACAGGCCCTCCTGAGTCTGTAGGCAGTGGTGCTTCCTGCCCCCCCCCTGACTCTGTCCACTGCCTCTCCTGCCCTGGTCCACCTGTCCAAGCCCCAGGGGCAACACTGCGTGCCAACAAGGCCAGAGGCCAGGCTGATTCGTCTGGCTTACTGTCTCCTTGTGGCTCCCTGCTGCATCCCCAGGGCGCAGGCAACATGGTGCCACACACAGGCCGTCGTCCAGGCCATCTCCACGGGAAGGGCCCATCAGCGCACGGTCGCAGTGCCTCGGGGCAGCCTCACCCAGTGCCCTGGCCCACCCATCCCTCTGCTTATCCAGCTCCCTCTGGTCCTTCCCAACCCACCTCAAGGCCATGCTGCCCCTAACCTGAGAGGTGCCAGGTCCTTCCGGGCTGGCGGGCATGGTGAGGGGCATGGAGCGTCCCCCCAGGGCCTCACAGGCCCTCAGTCCCCCTCCTGGCTGTGACCTACCGGTCCTGGTATGCGGCTCCCCTGGCTGCTGGCCACTGGCCGCTTGCCCTTCATGGAGAAGGTCTTCCTCTGCGCGGCCTGGCATTCCACAGGTGACCCAGCACCTCCCTGCCAGCCCAGGGAGGACGGGGGAGGAAGCGGCCAGGACGACACGGGCTGGGGGTCACATTCCTCCGGCCTCACGTCAGCCCATCCCTCAGCCCGCAGAAGAGTCGGCTTCCCACCAGCACTGCTGCAGGCCACGCGGGCGCCACCCGGAACCTTCCCCGAGCTTCCCAGTGGGCAGCAAGCCCAGCTGCTCAGTGCCGTCCAGCACAGCAACCACCTCCACCAGGGCTGGTTAAGTGCACATCAAGTCAGACCAAGTCAGGGGAAACTTGCGGTTTCTCCCCCCAGCCACTGAAGTGCCCAGAGCCACACGTGGCCGGTGGCCGCCTCCGCCTGCCAGCCAGCACTGCTCCAGGCCCCCCACTCCAGGAAGCCGTCTCGGACCCCCAGCCCAGCAGCAGGGATCCCTGCGCGTGGGCTGCCCCTTCTCAGGGGTACCCCCGTCTTGCGCCTACTGCTCTGCACTGGGAGGGGGGGCAGGGGCTGGGGCCTGTCTGGCCGCGGAGGCTCCCGGGGAACCCCACTCATCGCCCCAGGTCCAGCAGCCGGATCCGTGGGCCATTGCCCCCCTCTAAGGCCGCGAGCCCGGGAGCGGTGGAGAGCCGAGAAAGTGGCAGACGTGGGGGTCCTGGACCCCACTTCCCAGCTGCTGCTGGGCCAGGGGTGGTTTCCTGTTATTCTCTCCTCATGGTCTCCTCCCTTCCCAAAGGCGGGGGGGGGGAAGCAGCCCCCATTCTGGGAGCGTCCAAGCAGCCCCTCCCCACAGCCCTCCTCAGTCTCCCAGAGCAGCCGGCAAGTTGGCTCTGGCTGTGGAAACGGATGACAGCCAGACAAGAAGGCCATCCCGTCCACTCCTGCCCTGCCCCTCCCAGCCCATCCCGGGGACCCCCCACCTCGCAGTGAGGCAGGGTGGGAAGGCCTGGGCTCTGCCTCCAGCCTGCTGCAGGGCCCAGAAGATGGGGGGTCCGTAACGGTCAGCTCTGCGCCCTGGGTTCAGGCCTCCGTCCTCATGGCCATCCCAGGTGCATGGGGAAACCAAGCCACTCACCGGAGGGGCTTGTTCAAGTAGCTGAGTGAGCATGAGATGCCAGGCAGACTGCTGGGGTCGGTCTACACCTCTGGGAGTTCACAGCCTGGAGAGCCTCAGGGCCGCGTCCTGTAGGGCACTGGATCCTGTGTGGGATCAGGGCTATGTCTGCAATGTCAAGGAACTGGTGTTAGAGGGAGGCTGCCGGCCTGGGGCAGCCCGGGATGTCCATGGGGAGGGTGCGACAACAGAACCTAAGTCATCACCATGGAAAGTCACAAAACTGATGGGTCCCTGGGATGGGATGTCCTGCTAACAAGCTCTGGCTGATGGGATGTGTATTAGCTGGGGCTCTCCAGAGAAACAGAACCAATAGGATATGTATATATATAGAGAGATTTATCTTAAGGAATTGGCTCATGTGATTACAGGGCTGTCAAGTCTGAAATGTGCAGAGCAGGCTGGGGACCCAGGAGAGCTGCGATGTAGTTCCAGCCTGATTCTGAGTCTGAAGATGGGAAACTGATGTCCCAGCTCAGACACTCAGGCAAAGTAAGTTCCCTTTGACTCCCCTTTTTGGTTCTACTCAGGCCTTCACCTGATTGGGTCGGGCCCACCCATGCTGGGGAGGGCATCAATTCAGTCTGCAGATTTAGTGTGAATTTCACGCAGAATCACCTCAAAGACACCCCCAGAATGGTGCTTACTCTGGGCACCCAGCCAGTCAGGTTGACACAAATATAACCATCAGACTGATCAGGAACCTCGGGCTTTGCTACTCAGACCATCACCTGATTGGATGAGGCCCACCCACATTGGGGAGGGTAATTTGCTTTACCAAAGTGTGCTGTCAGTGTTAATCCCAGCTACAAACACACCTTCACCGTGACATCTAGGCCGGTGTTGGCCCAAATCGCTGGGCGTAGACACTCAGCCTGACCCACAACTGACTTCTGTATTCAGGGACACACAGCCAACCTGTTTCCCAGCGGCCCCCAGGCAGGGCCTCCTCCTGTTGACCCAAACTGCCTCAAATTGCATCTAGACCAATTAAGAAGGGGGTGGGGGGGAATGAGAGTCATTGGCCTTTGCCAGGTCCTCTTGAGCCACCGTCCTGTGAGGAGGCCCAGGCCGCACAGAGAGGCCTCACTGTAGAGACCTGGCCTCCCCCAGGACAACAGTGCCGGCAGCACACCTCCAAATCAGGGGCTGCCCGTCCCCATGAGACTTCCTGTCTTGCAGAGGTGACACATGTCTGTGCTCTGAATCCGAATCGGCTGGGCCCTCCAGGACTTCCTGGGGTGGGGCTCCCCTGGGGTACTCAGCGTACCCTGGGCATCAGAAGCAGGCTGACATTGGGGTCCTGGTCTGTGTTTGGCCTGGGGCCACCAAAGAGGGTTTGCAGGCCAGGAGGGGTTGTCACAGCCTGCTCTGGACCTGAGGGGGGCTGGGCGACAGCTGGGGTCACCGAAGTCAAGTCGGAGGGGGCTCCTTGCTGGCAGCAGCTGACCCCCCCCACCTGTGTGTCACCCTTGCCCCTCACGCTGCAGGCTGTAGCGAGTGTCCGGACAATGCTGTCCACTGTCCTCGACCTCTCTGTCTTCTGACTGCAGGCCAACCTTGGGCTGTGAGTGTGTGCGCCTGCCCGCGTCCTTTGTTCTCACCATCTGTGTGTTCGGCTGTGCCCCCCGCCCTTGCCCGCTGCCTGGCACAGAAAGGCACCCACGTGGCCTCAGCCTTGCTTCTCTCAGCCAGCGTGGAGCTGAGCCGCGTGTCCCTGGAGGGCAGTGGTAGACACACTCACACACCCGTGCACACTGTATACACCTGTGCATGCCCCACATGCACCCGCACACGCAGTTGTAAACAAAAGTTAGTTTTATTTTGCTTCCTTTGTTTTGGAGGCTGTGTTTGAATTAGGGAGGGGGCCGGAGGGCAGAGAAGGGGTAGGTAGGAGCCCCAGAACCCCTTCCCCCAGAATGGCCAACACCCAAGCCCTGAGCAAGACCCAGCAAAAGGTGAGCCAACACCTTTGCAGGACTTCCAGTATGTCCCAGGGGAGGGGGCCCCACCACGCCGGTGCAGAAGCTCCAGAGGGCGTTGTCTGTCCACCCCAGGGCCTCTGTCCCGCTGTCTAGGTGGGGAACTGAGAGCACGGTCCAGGGCTGCCCCACACTCCCCAGAAGAGAATGAGGTAGCTACCCCTCTGGGGCTCAGCAGGGGCCAGGCCCATCCAACCTCGGTTTCCCCGTGTGTACAAGAAAGACCTAGGATTGCTTCCAGCTCTGCAGGAAACCGGAAGTGGGGTTGGGGTGGGGGTGTGGGGAAGGAGCCCCATTTGCTGCTGCAGGGAGTAGGGAGCCAGCACAGTGCCCCCAATACCCCAGGCCAGGCACCTCTGGGTGACATACATGAGCTGCTGCAGGGGAGCAGGGGAGGAGAGCCCCCGGCCTGAGGCAGCGCAGCGAGCCAGAGAGCCAAGAGAGGCTCAGAGGAAAGGGCTAAGCACCCCCACAGGTGAGGCTCAGAGTGGCCCTGGGGGTGGGAGGAACACGGCCCCAGCCACAGTCCCAACCGCATCTTCTGGGTTTAGGGATCCGAGCTGGGGGCCCTGGCAGGTCCTACCCTGGACAGAGCGGGGACTCGCGCAGGGAGGGCCAGGTGTTGAGCAGGTGATGCAGGCCGTGCCTGCCCCCCTTCCCGCCCCTCCCGAGCGCGCGGGTAGCCGACGAAGAGGCGGAGGAGAAAGAAGAGGGCAGGCTGTGCTCGGGGTCCTGCGCGTCCAGCCCGTGCAGCCCCTGGCCTTCCTCCAGAGCCCCCCAGCCCAGCCCTGGCCTGGAGGGAGGACGGACACGATCAGGGGCAGGCCATCAGATCCACACGGTGGTCTTCCCCTCCCTGCTGCTCGCGCTGCCCTTCTCCGAGCCCGCCCTGGGCTTGGCGCCTGGCCTGGCCTGGCCCCCGCCGGTGCCCGTGCCCCCCGACGTGGCGCTGCCCGAGCCGGAGGCGGGGGCGCCGGCCCGCGGGGGCCCCCGGGCGGCCGCGGTGAGGCCGGGGCACGGCGGGCTGTCGCGGTCTCCCAGCGCGTGCCGGTCCCGCAGCGCCTGAAGCGCCAGGCTGGCCAGGTCGTGGTCGTGGGAGCGCGCGCGCTCGGCCGCGCGCACCACCAGGCTGTAGTCGGGCGGGCCGGCCAAGCC